TAGATTTTCAAATGTAGAAGTGGGATGCAGGGCGCATCTGGAGACTACTTTAGTACTGCTGCGCATGATGACAATGCTGGAAAGTCACTGGAGACTACATCTTCGACAGTACCATACTGAAGAATTGTGGACTCCTTGATTATGTGACAGCTGTATCGAGCTTTCCGACTTTGTTATCCTCGCCGTATCGTAGTCATGTCCCGCTGAGCGAAAGAGCGGATATCCTGTTTGCTAAAAGATCGCATTTACGAGGTGTGCGAGAGGATGGGAATATGCAGGCACTCACGTGACAGTATAAATTTGAGATAGTAACTCCGGTAGTTCATCTGTATAATGGCTCACGCAGCTGGCCTCGCACATAGCTCCAGATAGTGTCCCCCGTGAGAATGATTGATTAGAGGTTTCTAGAGCAAATAGTAGCACCCAACTCGCCCCCGCTATTGCAGTCAGAAACGTAAGCCTGCTGTGTTCCCACGTACGGGACTACCTTGCGAGGAACGGCGAACGGATCAGCACAAGGACCATCTCCTTTCCAAACAGACTACAATTCATCAGGCAGTTTCAATAAGTACAACTGTAGTAATACTCACACAGTACATATTGCCTCCATTTTCCTCGCACCAGCCAGATTTCGCGCCCCGATAGCCTTGACTTGGCACACCAGTGCATACAAGTATTGCAGTCCGGAGAGCACTCACTGTACATGTTAATAGGTGTTGTTTAGAGGGGCGGGTGTACTAAACCTCCATTGCCACTTTGGGCCAAGACATGCTCGGACGCGAACAGCATAGTAAATACTGCGGAGACGATAGTAAACTTCATCTTGATGAAGAGACGGAGACGAGTTGAATAGCTGCGTTGTGGTGAAGTAGTTATTAGCTGTGGAGAGATAAACCCAAGCCACGCAGGAGGCGCAAGCCGTCTCTTAAAGTCACAATCAAAGTAAGCAGAACAGCGGTCACCGTATTTTTCTGGGCGTCCAGGGTAAAATTGCCTCCTTTACGCCGAGATACGAGCACAAACATAGCGCCGCTTTTACATGATATGAGAAGAGATGATGTGAAACGGCCTCGCACATAGCTCTAGAGTATGCTCTCCATGAGTATATTTGATTAGGGACCTAATATGCGCACAAAGAAACACCACTATAAGACACAGTACGTCCATGCGCTGTTCCTGTCAAGGAGCAGTCCGGTACTGACACTAGCGGCGGTTGACCCGGTCGCGTTTCCACGTACCGGATATACGTACGAGGAATGTTAAAAGCTTGCGGGCAACCACTTTCGAGACCATTTCCCACACACTACGCCCGATTAGAGGGGTATAATAATAAGCTCATAGCGATACTCACACAGTACATGTGGGCGTTGGGGTTCTGCTGCTCACACTAGTTGGGCGGCGCATTGATATATCTACCGGTTCCCGTACTACTATAATATACATTTATGATACTGTTATCAGGTGCTGTGTGGAGGGGCGAATTTGATAAACGTACCTTGTCCGGAAACGAGCAGAGCGGGGAACACGATGGAGACGATAGTAATCCTCATATTGGTATTATTATTATTATTATTATTCCATTAGAGTCCTTTTTCAGTCAGAGACTATGTAGGACTTTGGCCGAAGGCCGTTCTATCTTGGTTTTTCTAATTTACATGGTTTTCTGGTATGGTTCGCTAATATGGTTTTTGGCTTTTCTACAAAAGATAGCTTGTATCTGTTTGTTGCCAGGTGCTAAAGAGCAGTTTGATAAGTAGAAAGAGATGTAGCAGCGGGCTCTTGTGGCAAAGGAGAGGGTTGTGGTTTTAGTTTTATACAGTGTCTCTCTGTAGGTCTTCTGGTGGCTGTCCTAGGTACCATTTTCTTGTTCCTATTCTGGTGCTAGTGATAAAAGCTAGGGTTGCTTCTATACCTATACTAGTGTGGAGTAGTAGTGATAGTGTGACTGGGCGATGTTTGATTGTTTGTAGGAGCGTTTTTCAATGGTCTTTGTATAGATGACAGTACAGTAGTAGGTGTTCTGGCGTTTGGATGTTTTGGCAGGTGCAGCGATTAGAGTCTCGTTTCTTAAATCTCTTTAGGTAGGAGTTGAAGTATCCGTGTCCTAGCTTAAGAGAGTAGAAGGCGCTAGAGGTTACTCTTTTCGTGTTCTGTGGCATTTGGATGGTTTTGCTGATTTTAAGAGGGTATTTGGCTGAGTAGGTAGCTTTGTTTAGAGCGGTTGCTCTTGCTTTGTATTTCTTATACTCTTGGCGTTGTTCCGTTTGTTGTATCCTTTTAATTGTCGTGCCTAGGTAGGCAATGCTCTTTGTTGTTGATCTGGGGTCCTCTTTAGTTGCTTCTTTTGCTAGGTAGTCTGCTCTTTCGTTTCCAACTATATCTGTGTGTCCAGGTGCCTAGAGTAGGTGGATGTTTGCTTGTTTTCGTCGGATCGTATTTGCCGCTCTTAGACATTGGAGTTGCCAATGCTGTCCTGGGTTATCTAATAGGTTTTTAAGCCTGTAGATTGCTGCTTAGTTATCTGCGTAGACCTCAAATTCCTGGTCAGTTGTAGCGTTCTTTGCTGCGTATTCGAATGCTCGTGTGATCCCTTCTAGTTCGCCGTTGTAGACTAGCTGGTATTGTCCGATATTAACTGTTTCTAAGTAGATCTCTTGCTAAGTTGAGTTGTAGACTGCTATCCTAACTCCTATTCCTTTTCCTTCTTGTGTTTGCGAGGCGTCTGAGTATATTGTCGTGTAATTGTCTAGCCTTGTTTTAATGTAGGCTTAGTGCGCATTTGCCTCCTCTTCTTTGGATTTTTGAGAGACTGTTACGGTATAGTTTAGAGTATCCCATGGCCTGAACCGGTATGGGATAGTCTGCTCTGTGTCTCTTTTGTTGTTTTTAGGAATTGCGTTAGTAATAGTTTGTAGCTGTCTGTGCTGGTTTAGTTTCTTTGAGCGTTGGAGATTAGTTAATTGGATCCGAGTTATTGCCTTTGCAATTGGATGGGTGTTGGCTAGCAGGTTTGCTCTGCTTGCGTAGTTCCGGATAGTTGAGTTAAGTCTGATTGCTGGTGGCGGTAGGCTAGCTTCTATGCTTGTTGGAACGGCTGGTGCGGTTCTAAACACTCCTAGAATCTTCCGGCATGCTAGGTTATGTAGTGATTGTAGTATTGATGTGGCGTATAATTGGTTTTGCCAGTAGATTTGCGCTCCGTAGTCTGACACGCTGGTTACACATGCTAGATATAGTTGCCGGATAGCATGCGTTGATAGGCCGAGTTCAATGTCCTCATATTGGTAGAAAGATCGAGAAAGGATGTATAGATGAGTTGTGGTGAAGAAGTTTTTTGTTATTGAGAAACAGATGTCTGGAAGAGTGGAATGATTGAGTTGTGGTGAAGCAGTTATTCACTGTCGAGGTATAAACACCAGTCACGCGGAGGATGCAGACGGTCTTTTGTAGTCACTACTAAGCAAAAGAGCGATCGCCGAACTTTGCGAGGCTCCGAGCATTACAGTGCTCCCATTGTGCCGCGATACGAACACAAACATGGTGAAGCTTTTATAGGATTCGAGGAGACGTGATGCGAGATTTCGATACGAAGATTCGGTAAGAATCTTGCTGTATCAGGGCAGATACCAGACGATGGTTGGGACAAGTGACACATGTCATGCTAACTCTACTGGATCGTGTCCGCCGTGGAAACAATCGGTTACTGCCGGCCTGGGCGCAGTACCCAATTCCCTCACCAGGGTCCGCTGGGGCAAATATGCTTACGATACCGGTTATGTGCGTCATCAAACCACCGACCGACGAGCTTCAAAACTAGCTTGATTGCAACTATGATACGAATCAATACCTATACAGTCGCGGTTGTTAGAAAGTGTTTGAGATGTTTGGTCCTAGCAATAGCTTACACATTAATGTTGATTCTCACACTGGACTTACAGCGCGCCTTTGTCTCCAGGAATGGATGCAGCATAGCAAGATTTGTCAGTCGACATCTCCGTTGGCAGGTACTGGTACTGTGTCCAGGGACGAGTTTCCCAAATGAGCCTGGTAGCGGCATTGAGACATGCTTACCGCCGGTATCTGCATGCACCTAAGCAGCGTGGTAAGCACCACGGAATAGGTGATCCCCTTCCTAATAGAGATTGGGATAATTCGATAATCGAGTTTTGGTAAAGGCACATTTGCTGCAGGTGGGTGGAGGAGGGGGGCTAGATGCAATTTATACCACGTGCGCAAGTCGTGTTTATGTGTACAATCACTACCGCGAAATAGCAATTACCAGTTTGGGTCAGAGGTTTCCTAGCGTGATGACGATGCCTAGATGAGCACGGGTCTTATACGGGGGTTTCCGTTGTGCCGAATACGAAGTTTGTAAAATTTCGAGTGGCGGTTAAACAGAGCACGTCTTGTTTTGTAAAGTCTTGCGTGCGCTTTGGGTTGGTGATAACAGTTGGTAATGGTGGGCTTCTTTGTAGAACGTCTGAAAACAGTGAATACAGGAGACTAGTCGCTTATGCTAACTGCAGTATGCGCATTTCTCTAAGCTCTAGAGCCGTGACAATGAACAGTGGTAGTCGAGGACAACAGTCTTCAGCGGGGAATCGCAAGATAGACGTCGCTTACGCTACCTCATCTTCTTCTTCTTCGAGCAACATCCGGATACTAACGCTATACGGGACTGATCTTGACCTACAATGACATCCCACAATGACTGCTGACTGCAGTCGGCCAACCTCCCTTACTCCACGAGGCTCGCTGGACTTGCAATATGTAGCCGAGTGATTGTTACCAACAAGAAGTTATGGCAATTGACTACTTGACCACCAGCTAAGATAGAGCAGAGAGCATTGTGTATAGAAGAAAATTATGAGAACTTTTGTGTTCTCGAGGAGGTTGTAATGGTGTTGCAGTGCTGCGGGCTAATTGCAGCGTGGCAGCCCCAATTCGGTAGGCGGCGGGCGGGCACTAGTTAAGTTGCGGTTAGCGGGTCGGGATTTTGCGCCTTCCCGATCTGCACCTGCTCATGCACATCTTTCGCGCCGACATGTTCGCACCTTCAGGTACTCACCTTCTCAATCACCTTGGCCCATAAACCTGTCGCAATATTGCTGTTTTTTTGGATATGTACTAGAAAGGCACGATGGTTGGGAGATTGGGAGACATGAACAAAAGTGCCACGCTGTGGAAGGCGACATCGGCCGCATCATCGGCGACTTTCCCAACGCAACCGCTAGCGAGATCCACGAGGTTTGCACCGCCACCGGTTGTTTCAACGAGCTCGTTCCTTCAGGCATTTATCACTCTTGCTGCCTGGCGTTATGCAGCAATGCGGCACTCACTATTTGAAAATAAAGCTTCTAGCTGTCATGCTTCCGGATAATACTGAACCTGTCTTGGAGCCGAAGATGCATGTTTACAGGGCTGCAAGGCCGCCATTGGATCGCATAGGTCCCACCATTCAAATGCCGGCGATGTGGCACATCATCACACAGCGTAAGCGCCCGTTGAACTTGAGCAAAGGTCTATAAGGTCACTAGTATGGGATGGGCGCGTTGGTGCGCTATATGTTTCTTACTTTCTTGTTATGCCGCTTTCTTGGTTCTGGGAATTATGTTGCGAATAGACTCGGCCGTTCATACCTCTGGCGACTCCACCTCATACTGCTCGGAGTGTTTGAAAAAACTTCTGCCTTGGATGACGCCTGACCGAGCGGAGTTTCCGAGCTGGTTCGACGATTTTCATCGAGACCTATACGATCTGATAGAATGCAGCAATCACTGCAAACTATGTGCATATATTTGCAATCTCTTTGGACAGTCTCACTTTGGAGAGTTTCTTGCTCGAGTTGCAGAGCACAATTTGTCCCCCCGGAAACCTGCTGATCTCGACGTTGCGAAACAGATGGGCCATGACAGACTCGGATTGAGAACTTCACTATCGCCCTCCCGGACACCATCAGATCCGCCAACTGTATCTATTAGAAATTACACCTACGATTCACGAGTGGACTTAGACGGCCACCTAGACTATGTTGTTGTAACTGTTCTTTTACAGCATCATGTATCCGACGTACGGAATGATAGCAAGTCATTTATGCTTCATACGGAAGCCGGTATGCCAATCGGCCCCTAGCGTACATGTGAAACTTCATATAATCTGCTAACAAAATGCAGGACGAGAGTTCAATAGGGCCATTTGTGGTGATGCAAATGCCGTTGATATTAAATCACGAAGTGCAACGATTTGTACATGGCTTAAAGAGTGTCGAACACAACATCCTGCCTGTCAAAGGTCCATGAAAGCAAGCACTCCAGTAGCAGCGCGCATACTTTTTGTTAGAGAACATGCACCAGGCAAATTTCTGGTCAAACTAGTTCCAACCGCGGAAGTTGACCTGCGAAGCGAACCTTATCTCGTCCTCAGTCACGTATGGGGCGATACCAACTCGAGTTTCAAAACATTAAAGTCCACCGTCTCACGTTACCAGAAAGTTGGCATTGATTTCAACATCTTACCCAAGACTTTTCAGGATGCTGTAAGAATTACGGCCGCTATCGGGGTCGAGTATATTTGGATAGATAGCTTATGCATTATACAAGACTACGAAGAGGACTGGCAACACGAAAGTACTAAGATGGCAGCGATTTATCATATGGCTACCGTTACACTTTCTGCAACTAGCGCAAACAATGGAGATGGAGGCTGTGGACTGGATACGGACTTTGGACAGATAATGCGGTTTTGCAACACCCCCGGGGGAATTCCGGGCTTCGCCGCTAGGGAAATAACGGAAAGTATTCCAAGCCCTGCTACTATGCTGAAAGGTCAACTGCGTAACTCACCAGTTAACCGGCGGGGGTGGATACTACAAGAACAGCAGCTTTCGCGTAGGATTCTACACGCCATGGACTCTCAATTTGTATGGGAGTGTGGTATGATCACGGAAAGTGAGGACGGCACAGTATACGAACAGGGAAGAAACAGTTCAATGGTCAAGAGTTTGGGTCGTCCTGACAATGGCATAAGACAGAGTCCTTATAATGATGCGGATTACCACTTGGACATTTACAACTCTGGCTACCCTTGGTGGAAATGCCTAGTCGACTACTCGAGTCGCTCTCTTTCTCGTCCAGAAGATCAATACGCTGCCCTAGCTGGTATTGTGCAGTTTCGCCACAAGATCACTGGGGACTTACCTGTAGTAGGCCTCTGGGAACAATATCTGGCTATTCATTTAGCATGGGGTGTCTATCACAACCCTCGTGAGCATAGCGTACCTCTGTGGAATGCAGCTTGTCGCCGGCCGAGCTGGACATGGATGACCTTTCAACATGGCAGTGTCAAGCTTTTACATCCAATATCATGGCCGGTACTACAGAGTGTTGGGTCCAGAGAAGGAGACTTGGGTATCATATACCAAGCTCATGTCTTGCACACAAATGTCAGATGGAGCGGTCGGCCCTTGATATCTGATCCAACGAGGAGCACGATTCGTGTTCGCGGAATGATACATTGCAGACCACGGCCCAAACCAGTTCGGCACGGTGTTCTCAGTCCATTACATTTGGACCCGGGAGTTCCTGAGCAAACCGACGCAAATGCAGAGTACAGTGCGCTCGCCCTTTTCACCTACGTGCAGAGCGCTGCCTTGACGAACCAACCGCCCTTTGCAACGACGGTATACTTGATTATTCAGGCGACGAATTTAGAAGACGATGACGAATATATGCGCATCGGCAGAATGCAATTGACGGAGCCATTTGAGATGAATCGTCGACATGGGTACCTACCTGAGGGTGTTGAGAGGGTCATTACTCTTGTCTAAACATTCAGCACGGGTATCAGTAAATTCTGCGACCGTACGTACGTCGCGGACGTTGGGTGACGTACGTAGAGAAGTGCAACATGCTAAATTTGGTCGGCACCGCTTTCCGGCGATTAGCGGCGCATTTTGATGGGTGATGATGGACCCTTCTACGTCAGCCTTTGGCGGGGCAGCTGAACTAAGTTAAGACTAGAGCTGAAACCGCGCTAGTAGCTCCCATCTCATGTTATACCAGACCACACCCCTCTTCTCGTCTTCCCGCCCATCGAGCATCCTCCTCATATAAAATACTCCTTGATTTCGAAGAGTATACGAAGATACCAGCACGATGCCGCAAATCAGCGACATCTGGCTACCATGCCTCATTCTGCTCGTGTTCTGGACGCGCCCCACTGCAGCTTTCGGTGCGGGCAACATTGCCAGCTTGAGCTCAATTGAGGGACAAAACTGGCGCCATGGAGACATTGAAGATACGCTCCTTACGCTGCTCATCAGTGGTCAGACTGGCAAGAAATTCAGCAAAATGGACGTCAAGCGTGTCTACTTTGGCAATTGGCTTCGCGACTACTCACAGGCCGTCGACGTTGGCACTGTGAAGATGGTATCGGCGGAGGCTATCCGCATTTTACTTTGGGTCCTTGGCTTCATGAGTTTTGGCTACGGCACCGGGGAATTCGAAGTTACCCGTGACCGCCTGGGCTGCTACAGACCAGAAGAGCACATTGACAACCCCAAGGTTTGTATGGAAACCTCCCAACTGTAGCAAGTCACTGATTCCTTAGGACTATGCCGATAACATCGATGCCCGCGATTACGATCGACGCCTACGAGCCCCGGTTGACGAACGTCGCGAGCTCAGCATCGACGAGAGAACCGGGCTGAAGAATTACATTGCATCGGAGAACGTGGGCATTACAACATCGGCTGGAATGGTCCGCGACCTACTGAGGCGCTGCATTGATCTCGGTCAGCGCTCGGGAGGACGCGGTCCTGACTTTTATGAAGCCCTTCGTCTTCTTGGTACCGCAACACACTGTCTCGAAGACTACTCCGCCCACTCCAACTACGTTGAATTGGCCTTGATCGAGATGGGAGAAGAAGATATTTTCCCCCACGTCGGCAGAAATGCCCGCTTCCACGTTGAAGACGCTGGCAAAGAGGTGTATCCTATCATCACCGGCACATTTGGTGGGGTTGACTTTTTGCACTCGGTGTGCGGAGAGTTCAGTGACAAGGCTACCCAATCTGAACTGCAAGAGTTACAGGGTGCCATGGCCAACGCTGAGAGGAGCGAGAACAAGAGTAAGATCAAAGAGCTTCTCGCCAAGCTTCCACCCGGCATCTTTGGTGGTAAAGACGAAGCCAGCAAGGCTGACGAACTCGAGAACAACGCCAACGCTGCTGCGATGGGAAACATCCAAATCACCCCCAAGGAGCCTGAAGCCTTTACTGAGCAGATTGGGGAGATTGTAAAACAGATCTATCCCATCATGGAATTTCATGACGAGATCATGCAGTCTATCGCCGAGTTCATCGAAAACGTTCCGATCCTACCAGATCTCATTGAAGAAGTCCAGAACCAGGTTACCATCTTTGTCTTCAGCTTGCTTGCACCCTACATCTTGCCTATCCTTAACCAAGTCAAGTCCGAGCTTGAGACTGGATCTAGCGAGGTCATTGCAAGCTCTCGCGACAAGCAACACATCGTCTTCAATGATGACGATTGTACAGACCCGACCCACAGCATGCTTTCCAAGGATCATTTTTCGAACATCCTCAACGAACCTGCTGGTCAAATAGCATCCGCTGTCTTGAGATGGGCCGTGCCGCAAATTGTGCAGTGCTGGGACGGCCAGGCCGACCCTGAGCAAACCATTGATCGCATCATTCAGGCCGTGTTCCATCATCCTGCATGTGTCGGAGCTACTAGGGACCGTTCGGTCACACAAGGCCGCCAAGTCATGTTCGATACTGTTGGCCAATGGTGGAATAACCAGAATAAGCAAAGCCTTCGAAGGAAGCTTAGTCGTGAAGGTGTAGAAAATGGTCAAAATCATAAGGCGGATGTACACGACAAGGGACATGGTTGTGGCAAGCCTTTAGGAATGGCAAACAATTTCAGCTCTTCGGGTGGCAAAGGCAGCAGTAACCCACAAATCCAGCAAGCCACTGATCAAGTTGGTAAGCTTGCGGGTGAAGCCGTTGGTGGCGGCGCTCTAGGTGGGCTCGTCGGAGGCCTTGTTGGAGGCATCGGCGGCTCCCTACTTGGAGGTGCTTTTGGTGATAGCGAGAAGAAGAGCCGCAAACAAGAGAGTTACGGTCAGGACGGCTCTTACACGCAGTCATACTCGGAGACTGGTCGCCATCAGGGATCTTCACATGGTGATGGCGATCGTTATGGCCGTGCTGAGTACGAGAATACTCAGTACCCCGGCGGCGGACGTCGTGAGGAGTACTCCCGCCAAGAGCAGGACAAGCGTGGTGGATCCTACAGCTACCAACAAACAGTTCAGACCTCCAGCTACAGTGGCGCTGGTGGATATGAACGTCGCGAGGAACGTCGCGTACAGCATGGTGATGAGTGGCGCTCTGAGGAGACGCGCGAAGGCTTCGATCGGTCAGGGGAGTACTACTCGGAGGAGGAGTAAGTAGTCGAGACACCACTCATGGACCAAACGCTAACACTTGTGTAGACGCCGCGGTAAGTCCAAAAAGCACTCCGATAACGATTCGGAGGATTCGGGCGGCGAGGATTCCTACGAGAAGCGCATGAAGAAGGAACGCAAGAAGCGTGAGAAGGAGGAAAAGGAGGAGAAGAAGCACAGAAAACACAAAAAGCACGATGACGACTCGGATGATGATGCTGACAAGCGTCGTTCAGGTTCGGGTGAACACAGGCGTCGCTCTCGCTCTCGCGAACATGGGCACGAGCATCGTCGCAAGAAGAGCGGCAGCCGGTCACCCCAGCGCCAGACTGGAGGCTACTCGCAAGGCTATGGCCAAGAACAGGGATATGGTCGTCAAGAATCTTCCAGGTATGAACGCCAGGAGTATGGCGGTGACTCTAGAGGCTACGGTCGTCAGCAACCACAATACGGTGCTGACTCTTATAGCACTGGTGGATATGGCCGTGAAGAGGAATCAGGCTACGGCCGCCAGAGGTAGGTTGACCATTTTTACATGGCATTCATGGTCGCAGGATGCTTTGCTATTGCAAAGGCATATTCTTTCAGTGCTGACATCTACCAGTTCCGGTGGGTACGGTCGTTCAGAGGGCCTAGAATACGGAGGTGAGCGACCAGACCAGTCTTATGGCGCTTCCGGCGTTCCTGGAGGGTTCGGCGAAGAGCCTCGTAGCCATGGTCGCCGCCGTGACGAAGAAGATGAGTATGGCGAGAGGAGGCAAGAGTATGGCTCAGGTGGATATGGCGAGCAGGGCTATGGGAGACGCTACTAGGCATGTTGCCCCTCTGTTGCGGTGTTGTTAGGGCTCGCGTAGTGGGCTTTGAGCAACAACGATGACTTCGCTATCGCACACGTATCGACATTCACTCATTAACGCTTAACGAATTATCAAAATTTAACACGGAAAACTGGTTTTGTGATGTATGGATCGAAAATCATGTGGTGTTATTATGCGCAGCAATGAAATTCCAACCTGTAGTACCTATGCACAATGCCGCAGCCAACACTGCGACCACAGCTCTCGACGACTGCCCACAAACCCGCAGAACCGGATTCATTCATCAACCATGGTTTCTTGATGTGACTTGCCAGATCATAGTACTGAACAAACATTGAATGAAGCGCTCACACAGTGCTGAGTCGAACTCCGTGTATTCCCTTGGCTATATAATTCCATATCATGGCTTGTGGTTTTCGAATAAATGAGGCATTTGATATGAAAATATTTGGTTCGATAAACACGCATATGTGCGATGAAGGCCGAGGTTCATCAAGACTGCGCTGTCATTTTCTTTGGCTACATGGTTTACGTGCATACGATAAGCGTTCTGCGTAGACTTGATGTGTTTCGAAGTCACGCAGGGATTGTGGGCTTTGCTGGTCTACTTGAAAGAGCATCTGGGGAAATGCGGGGGATGAGTATCTAGTTCCAAGTTCCTAGACACCGCTATGCGTGAATTGTGGGGGCTGTTCTAATGCGGATATACAGGCTGGTGGTTCTCCTCGATCGCAAATTTGCTGCGTCGATGTGATCATTTGAAGACTTTGGGATGCGGTAATTTTGGCGGCTCCGGGTCGACTATATCATGGTACAGATATACAAGAGATGGGCAAATCCACTGTCACTGTTAAATTGTCACGCACACGTAGTTTGATTACATGGTAGAGGGAAGGGTGTATGTTCAAGTATCTATATGGGATGTTGCGCAAACTACTTGATGTTCTATTTATTGAGGAGCTTGTGTGTAGCTACTGTCACAGATGGGGACCGGGTGTGCGACGTCCAGGTGGAGAAATTTGAGGCATAGGATATGTTAGTGTGAGGAGTAGCCGCGATGGTTATACATCGTAGGTGATTTATGAGTTCTCAAAGGTGCACTGTTTCCGCTTTCGATGTCTGTGAAGACAACGGGGCAAGTGATGGTCTCTGAACGTGTTGAGGTGGTTGTGGACGTATTCCTCCTGTTAGGGTGGGGTATTGACGGAGGGGTTAGCTAAGAGGTGGAAGAGTGGGCCTGTGGTAGTAAAAGGGGAACTTGATCTACCAGTTTGGAGGTGATCTTTCCTGCCGGCGATGAGGGGAACTGACAGTGCGAAAGGATCTACTGGTACCAAGACGATCTGGCGGTGCGGGGGCAACCTGACAGTGGTGGATGCGGTCGGTACGTGCCTGCGATCTGCCAGCACGAACACGCTCCATCATTGTAGAGGGGAACATGTCGATACCCAAGTTGGAGGGGCGAGTACTAAAAGGGGGTGGGTGATCACAACGATACCAACCACGATGAAGATCACCGCCAAGCCATCGATCATGCCCGCTTCCAAAGAGTCGACACTAAGAAAGCGAGGCCTCGATCCAATCCTTGTGCAGAACTGAGACTCTGTCTGATTTCCCGAGAGAGAGCGATCGTCGTAGGGTAAGCCACGGCGCGTAGACGAACACGTGCTGCCAGGTCCAGGAATGGGCTGAAGGGCAGAAACCGCAAATAGAGTTTATTAGAGCGCAGGCTTCGCGAAATCTACTAGAAATACTTGTGGGGGCGAGTCACGAGATTGTGGGGAAAGGGTTTGGTTGTGGCTACTGCGTTCGTCGGTATTGCCGAGCGGCTTCATCGAATCGCTACTTCCTTTTTTTGGGCTTGGGGCAGTTGACGGCGAGGTAAGCTTATATAGGCGTATGTTTGCTTCTTATTATTCTGAATTTGCCTAAAAGGTTGTTACGGTGAGCGATTTGGGAATATGGTGTAAATATGTTGAGGGTTATGGTGCGGTTGTCCCAACAGGCAGGAGCAAGACACTGATCGATAACCCACGTGAACGATGATTCCATAATGTTCTTACTGTGTTATCTGGTGTTTGCTACCAAGATCTTTGGACTACTGTGTGCGATATTATGTTTGTATGCGCCAGTAATGGTGTATTCGTTCAAGGGTGTACCTAACGACCCCTCACGTCAGTGCTTCCGCCCGAACCGAAGTTTTGATAGAATCTTCCCCACCGCAAGCATGCTTCCAGGCGGGCAGCTAAACATGGGTCTGAGCGCTTTGGGACCCGAGATGAATCGCGGGTTGCACGCGGGTTCCCTGCCCGCAGCGTGTCATATGCGCAGCCACCCGTCCGGTTATGCACGGAAGCCTTTCATTTCGCCCCCTTAGGTAATGGCAGCGGGAGGGACGTTGAGGATTGTGGGGTAGTTGACTTGCAGCTGTGTTGTTACAAGGCAGACAGCCAGCACCCTCGATACAAACTTCGATAGATCTCAACTTTGCCTTCACTTGACACCGGTGAGATCTGCTGAGCAACAATCAGACGCTCATTTCTTTGTCGTCGCACGGTCGCTAGTTGTTTCATTGTGCTCAAAGAGAAATAAAGCCTCGGCATGTAAGAGTGCTTTTTTTGCCTCCGCGTCGTGCTGTTGTGAGGTTACTTGAGCTGCTTCTTTGGATCTAGGTAGGTCGGCTCGGTGCTGGCCCGAACCTACCAAGTTCCCGTACCTTCTCAACACGAATAGGCTGCTTTACTCGGCCCGCGTTGAATTGAGTAAGGCCAGGACGAGAAAAAGCACTCACCCCCACTCGCTAGCTATGAAGTCTACCAAAAGTTACCCAGGTTGATTTTATCGAAGCGTCCTGACCCCGCCCGACTAACTACATCGAACCAATCTATGCCGCGAATTTGCGTGTTTGGACTCTTGGGCAGTCAACGTTCAAACGTTCAACGGTAGGGGAAACTACCGGTGGATGGAGTTCAGACAAAGTGATCTCGATATGAGTATCTAGAACACAGATTCACGTGACTAGGGCTTCACAAGCGCTGTCGCTTGGTCGAAGCGTAATCATGACTGTTTTTAGACCGTGTGATGCTAATGTAGATTGCGGTGTGTGACGTTAAAAGGGGTTTGGCTTCAGCTGAGTCCTCATCGGTGAAAGTATCTGAGCCGTTACCACGTGTCTGACCCTTTCAACGAGGTCCGCCTTTCCCGTCCTCGCAGGTCTTCAAAATCAAGGAACAGGGGCTTCGAGAGCTGGACCCAGCGGGAACCAGTATTCTTAGAGTATTATGCAATGTATGAGAAAGGTCGGTAAGACACCCATGTGTTGTCCTCGCATTGCTTTTGCTAGAGCCATGTTTGATCGACCACGGCACGTAGAAAGGTGGGGATGTACATGCGAACCTTGAGCAAACGACAAGTGACAGGTTGGGGAGGGCATCGTGGCGTCGTATTGGTTGCGTGGTGAGGAGGCAGTGAAGCGATATTATGTTCAGGGCACATTAGCATCCAGATCGCTGCTTTGATCGCATTAGTTGAAATGCATCACGTTACAGGAGAACGTATCATGCAAGTTCAAAGAGTAAAGAATGTTGACTCGTTGTAGTGGCGGAGGATGCAGAACGGGGTCACCGAGATTTCGATTAGGCTAGGGGATCTCGGCTTGCCGATACGACGCCACGGCTCTAGGCCGAGATGGGATTTGGACCCCCCCCCCCCCCAAAAGCAAACCTTGAGTACCTTGATTGGTTTTGGCGGCCCACACGCCGATGGTTCATCTGCATCTGTCATCCAGGGGATGGCAGGCATCCCCGGAACCCTGCATTGTGAAGGCTACTCCCGCACACAAACCACGGTGTAATCCTTTCTTCGCCATCTGTGTGTTCACTGCCAATATGCTATCATGTTCCACTAATGCCTTTTTTAAAAGAAAGACCGCTCTGCAGTAAGGATGTTTTCAATAAAACTCGCGGTGTGGACAGCTCGCGCAAATCATTTAGTGTTGAGGTGGTTTGAGCCATGACGTAACAGCGGCAGCAGCCGGTAGGATTTGCGACCCGTACCGTACCAGATCGACAGCCATCCTTTTGCGACGGCACTTCAGGCGAAATCACCGATTTGATCAACTCGTTTAGGGCAATGCTACCTGCCAAGAGATCTTACGGCTTGGAGCGGATCACCTATCCTACTTTGAGGCATATCTACAACCCTTACGCGCCGGGACTAGCATCAGACACTGCTATAATTGCTGGCCTGAACACTACCGAGCTGAGCCGTGTGTTAGTGCCCGCTACCACCCCTATGCTTTCCCTTTTTCGTTCTGTTGGAGCGATCAGAAGCAAACCTCATGTAGATCCTCAACCCTAAGTCTTGGACGGCCGCCTAAGCACCTCGGGACTGTGCATTCCCAGCGATGAGTTGTTCAAAGATCTTTTTTCCAATAACTGTTAGCCTCTGTTAGTTTAGCAGGTCATCGGCGTGGCAGTGTGATGGCACACATATTCAGACATGTGAGTCGTGACTAGCAGGTTGAAGACTCTTGTAACTCTCTGGGACCCTTTAGAGGTTTGCTGTGGAAGTGGTCTTGGATGACCTGTCTTACATAGGTCAACTGTAGCGTACAGATCCAATGAATAAATTCAGGCACAATTAAACATGACACTGAAATCAGTGTGGACAGTACATGTAGCACGTTCTTCAGTGGGTTTACCCTAGAAACTCATCGTGCGCAAATTAGTCGAGATGGAATCACACGCACTAGACCATACTACCGCCACGAATTATCCTCCAACCATGCGTGCCGACACCGTTTTTTGAATAGTAGAATGCCATCCTATCAAATATAGTCAAGGTAGAGTGGGACTTCACTAGCAAGCACGACGATCTATGAGGTTGGGGAGACGTGAGCACCATCCACCTTGCGGTCTTAGTCACTGTCACCTACTCTGTCATCCTGGGGAATGACCCTCAGCCATGGCGTATCCCAACAACATGCAGGATGTGATCAGCGCCTCTAGTCACGACTGAGCTAGTCCATCACATCAAAGTGACTCTCTTTACTCACCGAAAAGATGTATAAAGGTCCTACAATCCTCCACCCATTCAACCACCACCCAGCTCCATCATCACTCCCTCACTCTTCAATACTCCACTCCAAATCCTCACTTGTTTATTAACAATCTAATCACCTCTACCGTAATCATGGTCGCCTTCCGCAACATCATCACCGCCGCTCTGGCTCTTGCTACTCCCATCACTGCTGCCATCTCAGCTGCCGAGGTCACCGTCAACATCAAGGTCGTCACCCAGAAGAGCATGGCGCTCCAGCAGCCAGCTCAGAGCATCAGCCTTGTCAACGGTCCCCTCATCCTTATCGGCCAGGGACCTTTCCCCAAGCTCATCTTCGGCTTTGCTGATATTGTTACAACCGCCACTGCTGCCATCTCTCAGATGCAAGGCATGCCCAAGGAGCCTGCTGGCCCAGCCACCGATGCAGTCTTCGAGGCATTCCGTGAGGCAAGTATAATTCATTATCTCGCATCAATATGATTATTAACAATAACTCAGTTTGTCCGCGTTCATCAAGCATTGTTGAACATCCTCATCGGCAAGGCCGGTCTCTTCCAGGCTGTTCCTTTCATCGGCCAGCCTATTGCTGCCGTGCTGAGGCAGATCGAGGGTGTTGTTGACGTGAGTTTCTACCTTCCCTTCTCTTCTTCTCTCTGCAATGGCGCTGCAGTCTCATTCTCCCGCTCTGGCTTTCTCATTACTGACATCTTCATGTAGACCATTGCCTTCATGCTCATCGCCACCTTCGAGGCACGTGCTTCCGATTTCCAGAAGGAGGCCTCGACCCTGACCGGTACCCTCAGCCTTTGCATCGCCAAGTACGACGGTCTCTCTGTGAGCAGGAATGCCAACACCATGTCCACACGCCGCGCCATCGCCGTTTAAATTGCTCAAGGGGCAACAGAAGGGTGGCTCGCCTTTGAGGGAGCAAGGATGATTGGGGACACGGTGTATGTGGAGATGATAGGAATCTGTAGTGGGAGGATTGTTGGGTATACTAGGAGGATAAAGCTGTGAACGGTCTGTAGGAACTGTATTCCAGCTACCTAGTCCAGATGCTATTTACAGTCAAGATGAAGAAAGAAGGTAAGACGCGAGCGGCGAGCCCGCTTTGTTTGGGTTGGCGCACGGCCCTCTCGTTGCCGGGGAAGCGACTAGGCTCGCAGCCTAGTCATGTGACTTAGGGCTCAGCCCGTTACATTACCCCCCTCCTTTCCCTTTAGCGTGTAGTTTTTTCCATTTCTTCCAAGCGTCAGTCTTTAGTACGTTGCTCACTGGTTCCCATGTCGGTTCAGTATAGTCCACCCACTTCACATATGCCTCCTTGATTCCTTTCCCTCCTTGCCCTATTGTCCGTTCGCCCAGAATACGCTCAACCAGCCATAACTCGTCTCCATCTATAAGTATAGGCCCTGGCTGAGTGTCTCCAACTTTCTGCGATGGGAAAGAGTCGTCAGGCGCGTAGCGAAGCAGGTCTACGTGAAAGACAGGATGGATTTTTCCCGGAACGTCAAGCTTATAAGAGTGGGAGTTGACCTGCTTCAAGACTTTATACTTTCCATGCAACCAGTCTAGCTTCTTGGAAGGTCGTGTTGTCTTCACGTTTCTAAGGTTTAGAAACACCCAGTCTCCCTCCTTGTATTGGGGCGCTGCTGTTCTTGTCTTATTAGCCTGATGCTGCTGTTTCTCTTGTGTCATCGCGATCGCGGCTTGGGCCCACTCTGTTGCATCTTGGAGTCTTCTGAGGAAGCCTTCTGCTAGTGCTTCGCCATCTTTCTTTGGTCGGTCCTGAATAGTTCGATCCTCTACTAGCTGAATAGGTTCATTGTGATATCCGTGCATGAAATAGAAGGGGCTTAGGCCAGTGGATGAGGCCTCGCGGTTGTTGATTGCTCCCATAACGACAGGTAAAAGTGCCAGCCAGTTTTCTTGCGTGTACGTGGCCCAGATTCGAATCATCTTTTCAATCTCTTGATTCATTCGTTCTGTTGCACCATCGGTTTGCGGATGGTAGGCAGTCGACAGGCGTTGCTCAACGCTAAGGAGCTTACAGAAATGCTTCCAAAGATCGCTAACGAATTGTGGTCCTCTATCGCTCGTAATTGCCGTTGGAATACCGTGAATAGGATAATGCCGTTCGAAAAGTCGTTGTGCTACGGCTTGTGCCGAGATATCGTGCATACCTTCTAGTTCAATTCCCTTTGTCAGCCGATCAGTGACCACCATACAGTTCGTTGCGTTATCCCGTCCAGATGGCGGCAAGTCGGTAATGAAATCGATTGAAAGTTCCCCCCATATACGTTCTGGGATCGGTAATGGTTTAAGGAGGCCCTTCTTTGTTTCTCTCCATATCGTATTCCTTCCGCAAATCTCGCAGTTACGGACAAAGCGTCGCACGTCGCTTGCTGCACCTGACCAGAAGAACTGCCTTGATAAGATTGAGTAGGTAAGATCTCGTCCGGGGTGGCCAGTAATATGCGAGTCGTGAATATTTTGAATGATTCGCGTGCGGAGTGGTTCGCAGTGAGGGATCCATGTCCGGTCTCGAAATCGTAACAAGCCTCTCTCGTCTAGGGTGCATTCTGCTATACTCACTAACTTCTCCTTCTGAAGCTTAGTAGGGAGGTTCCTCTCCTTATTTGCTACTAGTGTAGTAAGCTCCTGATAAAGCTTATCTTCTTGGCGGCTTCGGTGCCACAGATTCTGCATCTCCTGGTCCTCAAACATGCGTATCTCTTTTGTGAAGTCAATCTCCTCAGACGATAGAGACTGGATTTGAACACTCCGCAAGTGCTTGCTCTGGAAGAGACGGATAAATCGAGACCGTATTCGTTCATCGTCATAGTTGGCGGGTAGGTCTTGTTCTCGTCGTGATAGGGCGTCGGGTTTTCCCATAGTCTTTCCAGGTTTCCATTCCAGGGAGAAGTCGAATCGTGAGAGAAACTCTGACCAACGTACTTGTCTTTCAGACAGCTGTCGTTCGCGGTAGAAGTATTGGAGGTTCTTGTGGTCCGTCAGAACTGTAAACTTCCTAACCATACGTAGTTCAGGAGCCCATGCTTCTAAGCAACGAACAATAGCTAGAAGCTCCTTGTCATGAATTGGATAATTGGCCTCTGTTGGTGAGTGCTTCTTTGAGTAGTAAGCAACGGGTTGCCAGTTGTTGTTCTTGTCCTTCTGCAGCAATAGGCCGCCAGTTGCATGTCCTGAGGAGTCGGCTTCTACTAAGGTGTCCTTCTCTGGATCAAAATGGCCGAGTATTGGTGCTGTAATGAGAAGTTCCTTAATCGTTTCAAATGCTTGATTGCAAGCCTCGTCCCAATGAAAAACCATCTCTTTCTTAGTTAGGTTGATGAGCGGTTCAGCAATGTCCGAGAAGTTCGGTATAAAAACTCGGTAGAAGTTGGCAAAACCAATAAATGCTCGGATAGCCTTAACTGACGTTGGTGTAGCCCATTCGCGGATTGCGATAATCTTTTCAGGGTCAACTCGAATACCCACTTCTGCTTCCACAATGTACCCGAGGTATTTAACTCGTTTAGTCTCGAACTCGCACTTGTCGATATCAATCTGCAGTCCAGCGTCTATGAGGCGTTGAAGAACCTTTCCAACCTTCTCTCTGTGATCCTGAAGCGATCCTGACGAGTAGATCAAGATGTCGTCAACGTAGGCTGAAACAAAGTCGTCAAGGTAATCCTGCAGAACACTATTTACGTAGCGTTGAAATGCGGCTGGTGCTCCTGTTAGTCCGAAGGGAGCAACCCGCCATTCGAATAGGCCGTATCTTGTTCGGAAAGCTGTCTTCCATTCCTCTCCTTTGGCCACACGGATCTTGTGGAAGGCTGCGATAACGTCAAGTTTTGTGAACCATTTAGCTTTGGCCACATTTCTCAGTGTTTCTGTGAATAGAGGCAGAGGGTAACGGTCCTTCCTGGTGATGTTGTTCAAGCCTCGGTAGTCAACGCAAAATCGGATGCCCCCTCCTGGCTTTTTAACCATTAGGACGGGTGCGGCTGCGGGAGAGTTACTAGCGCGGATAAAATCCTTGTCTAACAGCTCGGTGAGAGTTTTCCTAAGCACTAGTAACTCTTCTCGGCTCATGCCGTAGAGCGGACCCCATGGAATGGTCTTCTCGTTTCCGTCTTGATCCTTTTCAATCTCAATGTGGAGATCAACGCCTTTACGATGCGGGGGAAGTTTCTCAGCTAGGAAATGGTCGAAAGCCTTCAGCCATTGGTGGTACTGGGGTGGGAGCTTCGTCTTCGGATCGGATCGTTTGCGCGGTTTCAAAGCTTTCTCAATGTCGGCGATGGAAACAGCGAACAGTCCAGTGTCGAGCGCAATACCGTCTCCTTTGTTCTTCCTACGGCTTCTTCTCACCTCCGCCATGAATGCGGAAGCCATCACCTGAGTAGCCTTCATTGGTGGTGGCTTGTATGACGCTTTCTTGTGGTTCCATGCGCGGATGTTTGATGCGCCGATATCCAGGCAGCCTTGTTTGGCCGAAATTGTGACGTCGGCATCCTCTAACCAGGGCTTTCCCAGAATCACGTCGTAAGTCAGGCCAGGTACAACGTAGAAGAAGACGCGTTTCTGCTGGTGGCCGTCTATGTCTATCGAGGCGTAAGTAACTGTATCTAGGACAGTACTTGGTTCTGCGTTCTTCCCAGCTGCTTCCTCCAGCTGACGCGGGGCTATCTTGATTGATGGCAGTCTCAGAGATCGAAAGAGTTGTTCATTGATGGCGGAATAGCAAAGGCAACCTGAGTCAACAAGTCCAGTGACAAAGTCAGTTCCATTAAGTCTAACGTCCACTACAAAGGGATCGCTATCCATCTTTTGCTTTCCAGTCTCCTTCCATTCTTTCTGAGCTGCCGCGTGTTCCTATTGCTCTGCTTCGGAGTCTTCTGGATCTTCCTCCTCTACAGCTGCCTTGGTGACCACAGTACTCTTTGCTGTCTTGACGCTAACGTGAGTTGGTCGTAGAGCGGCTGCCAACGGGCATGTAGCTATTCGGCAATTGTTGCGGCCGCATCGAAGACAGCGTCGTTCCTGGCGTCGAGCATCGATTTCCTCTTGGTTGACCCATTTTGCTCGTTTTCCAATAAGTTCTCGGTCCTCAGGACGCCTAGATGGATATCCATTCATGTTGGTCTTGCCGCGGAGGCCGACAGCGTTCACTTGGGTAGTTGTAGGCTGCGTAGGTTCCCATTCCATCATGTCTTCAGGGGAAGCTGCTGTGAGAGTGGCATTATTCGATTTTGCTGGTGGTTCATAGGTTGGTGCATTTTCAGCAGTTCGGCTACCGTAACGACGGGTTGTTTTCGTCCATTGGCCGAACAACTCCATGTCGTTGCTAAGATCTACACACTTCTGAGCGAACCTTGCGTATGTGCTTGTTTCTGTCCCTGATGTACCAACAAGCCTATCCTTTATCCTACCACTTAATGCATTTCGTAAGTAGGATATCTTCGTATGCTCAGGCCAGCTTTCTGCGTCAGCGTTGGCCATCTCTTTCTCAAACCGTGGATAGAAGGAAATAAACGTCTCGTCGTCCTTCTGGCGTATAGAGTAGAGGTTCTGAATGGCTTTCTCCTTCCGATTTCGTTCGCCGTAGAGGAGTTCAAGGCGGTCAAGCAGCTTGAAAGGGTTTGGCGATTCTTCTTTAACTTGTATCTCGTAGTATGTTGTAACGTTGGTTTTCGCTGCCCCATCAAGACGCATGTAGACGTAGCGTAGCTGAGCTTTTAGGCTTCCAATAGCTTGCGCGTCTTCTTCGATCTTGCCCTCCATCTCTAGCTTCCATCCTCGCCATTGTGATTTGTTTCCACCAAACGTAGGCGGGTGGGGTAAGCTGTGCCGCGGCTTTGGGATTATAGGCACAG